GGGAGACATGGTGGGAGAATGGAAGACATAGGGAGGGGGAGGAGGAGGAGGGTGGGAGACGTGAGAGAGGTCATGAGAGGTTGAGGTTTGAGCATGATTTGGATGGGGAAGGTGGGAATGTCATGAAGGGTCTTGGTGAGATTGGACATAATGTCTTGGGAGGGCCTCATCATCAGGGGTCTTGGGGCTCATGGGGTTCGGAGAGCAGAGGTGTGGGGGAAACGTAAGGGGGAGGTTGTGAGTGAAATGAGGGGGTCATTGGAGACATGAGAGGGTGAGGGATGAACATGAGGTGATTTGGAGAGGGGGAGCATGGATCTTGAGGTGGGGCATATCATGAGAGGTCTTTGGGTGGTCAGTGGGCGATTGGAAGGCAGAGGCGTGAGGAGGGGTTGAGGGAGATGTTTGAGAAATGGGGATGTAACTGGAGGAGGATTGGAGTGATAGAAATAATAGTTGATGTCGAGTTGGATAAAGGAGATGTTTAAAGGCCAAGTACTGTAAATGGCAGTAGTATGTGTATTTTATTGGTCCATCAATCATTACAGCTGTTCAAATATCCATGATCTATATTGACCAGCTGAAGGTCAGGCATGGCAGGGCCAGGTGTAGACTTAGTCTGTAATTTTTAATTTGGAGTACACTAGATGACTCTATCAGTCATTTTGCAGCTAATCCTGGTATCCTAAGTGAGGGTGGGTACGAGGGATGCTTGGGACTGAGCCTTTTGTTTGGCAGAGGACTAGGGAGTGGAATGTACAAGACTAGGGCATTTTGGATAAAAAGGTGGCTTGGGCTGGATTCTTTTGGGAGTTTAAGATGTGATTGAGAGTTGGAGTACATGATAATGGACAACCTGGGCTGGTGGAAATGTCATGTGACTTTCTGAGTGCAGGTCTCTGAAATTATTCATTTGAAGTTAATTTTGAAAACTCATTCTGTGAAGTAGACATTGTTTAATGTTCACCCCACCTTTCTTGAACATAATTCAGAGATGGTGCTTCTGCTAATTTGTAAGCAAAATGTCTCTCAAGCCCCATTAATTGATCCCCTTTAATACAACAGTGGAAGTGCCAGGATCAGTCATTCTGAAAATTAACACAGGATGCAATGGTATAGTAGCAATGTCACTGGGCATGTGTATGAATTGGGAGTAGAAGTGGGCTATTTGGCCCTTCAAGTCTGCACTGCCTTGTCTTATGTAAGATCATGGTTGATCTGTTTGTGTTCCAAAGTCCACACTCCTATCTATTCCTGATAATGTTAAATTCTTGTTAAGCAAATGGATCAAATGAGCTCCACCTTGAAAACATTCAGTTGTCCCATCTCCATCACTTTCTGAGATAGGTTATTCCAAAGTCTCGCAACCCTCGAAGAGCAAATTTTCTCCCTCATCTCTGTCCTAAAGGAGTGATCCCTAATTTTAAAGTAGTGTCCCCTAGTCCTGGACTGGGCCACAAGATGAAATATTATTTCTATGTCCATTTTGTCAGGACTATTTTAAACTCCAATCAAATTGTCCTTTGTTCTTCTGAACTGCAGTTAAAGCAAGCACTGTCCAGTTTATTCTCGCGATAATACTCCCATTCTATGCATCAATCTAGTAGGTCATGTTTCTGTAATAATTGTCAATCATATTTATTCATTTAAATGTGCACTATCAATTCATTAACTTCATTATGAACGTTATACACGTTGAGACACAGATTCTTTAGTTTTGTTTTTTATCTTATAATACTTAGTCATGACTGCTGGTATATTTCCTCTCTGTCCCTTCCTGCCATTCTCTGACCTTTATTTCCACATTCATATTTTGCTGTGCTGCCTTGACTCTATGCTTTGATTTGTTACAATTGCCGAATCTTTATCACTCACTCTCCTTGTTTAGTTTAAAGCCGTCTCTATTTTCTTAGCTATGTGGCCTATACCAACACCAATTCCAGTATGGCTCAGATGTGGACTATCCCATCAGCACACATTCCACTTTCCCCATTCTGGTGCCCCACAAATCAGAACCCACTTCAGCCTGTTGAGTCTGCGCCAGTCAAAAACAACCACCTAACTATTCTAATCTCGTTTGCCAGCACTTGAATTATTGCGTTGTATGCCTTGGCATCGCAAGTGAGCATCTAAACGCTTAAATGTTATGAGGGTTTCTGCCTCTACCACTCTTACAGGCAGTGAGTTCTAGATTTCCACCATCCTCTGGGTGAAAATGTTTTTCCTTGCCTCTCTTCTAAACTTTCTGTCCTTTTCCTTAAATCTATGACCCTGGTCATTGATCCCTCCGTCAATGAGAAAGGTTTCTTGATGTCTATCCTATCTATGCTGCTCGTAAATTTTACATCTTGGTCATGTATTCTGTCAATCTTCTCTGCTTTAAGAAAAACAACTCCAGTCTGTCTAATCTCACTTCATAACTGAAACTTTCCACAGCCCAGGCAGCACCCTTGTAAATCTCCTCTGCACCCTCTGCAGTGCTGTCACAATCTTCCTATAATGTGGATTCCAGAAATGCACACAATGCTGTGGCTTTGGCCTAACCAATGTTTCATATATTTTCAGCAGAAGTACCCTGCTCTTAAACATATCTGCCTTAGCTTATAAAGGCAAGTATACCATATGCCTTCTTAACAACTGTATCCACCTGTCCTCATATCTTAAGGGACCAATGTACTTGCACACCTAGATCCTTCTGATCCTTGCTGCTTTCCAGAGTCCTACCATTCATCATGTATTCCTTTGCCTTGTATGTCCTGCCCAAGTACATCACCTTACATTCATCTGGATTGAGTTCCATTTGCCACTGATCAGCTCATGTGACCTCCCCGTCTACATCCTGTTGTAAGCTAAGGCTATCCTCCTCAGTATTTACCACCCCTCACTTCTCGATTTTTATCCATCTTCTGCCTCTTTTCGTGTAGCTCAAGTCTGTAATCTAGGTGGTTGTTTTTGAGGGTCTGCTTTTTAAATTACAGTCTGACTTTTCACCCTACTGTCAATTGTCATAAAGTAAGCCTAGTTCATTTCTGCCCTTTAATGAGGGAATTCAATGTTGGATACCTGTTCTAGCCTGCATGTCCTAACTGCCCTCTCAGTAACTCAGCACGCTAGGCAGTTCAAGGCTAATTAGGGATAATCAGCAAGTGCTGGCTTTATCAGTGATGCCCACGTTCAATGAAAGTATTAAAAAATGATATTTGTAAGAATGCTGAATTCAGCCATTTGAGTTTTGAAGATTTGTTTTTTGCTGTTTCCTTATTGGCAAATAAGAGGGGAACACTCTGGGCCTGCATTCACACAGGAAAGTTCTTACGCATGGTAGAAACATCATGCATAGAACCACCAGGAGAAACAGGCATTGATAACTCAAACTTCAAGAAGCATTTTTTTTAAAAAGAGGTTTGTCCCCTGTAGAATTGCCATGTGTGTTTTAGTAAGTTTGATCCATTTTTTGCTGAAAGATACAACGGTTTATAAATCATAGTCATGTAGAGGAACCAATATTGAGTACCTGATGCGTATACTTAATATTTCAAGTGCAATTCTGGGTTTAGAAGTGGCCTGTTGACAACTGTTGTGAGCAGAGAATTCGACTAATATTTGTCAGAAAGATATAAACTGATAAATTTAAAATTATTATTTTGCACCCTTTATCTTTTTAATTCGGACTGATCTGTTTCTTTATTAAATGCAACACACAACACCATAGTGACTGTTGGTTTGTTTTCTCATAGAAGCCACATCTGTTTTGGGATGAAGTCTGCAGAACAGATGAGGCAGCAAGCGCATATCCAGGTAGTCAGCAAGAACCTGTATAGTCAAGATAACAGTCATACTCCTTTGTCCCATGGTGTATTGGATCATCGCATGGTAAGGTCAAAATTCATATGCACTAATATTGTAGTAAGATAACCGTGTATCTTAAGGATTGCTTCATCAACTCAAAGCATTAAGTAGTGTTGCTAATTGGCTTGTATTGTATTTCTCCTTTCTGAAGTTATCTGGATGGAGTTTAATTTTTTGAAGTACCATTCATAAACTGAGTTAATCTTTTATCCATCTATTGGGGTGGCACGGTAGCTCAGTGGTTCGCAGTGCAGCCTCACAGCACAGGGGACCAGGCCCTGGTAACTGTCTGTGTGGAGTCGGCATATTCTTGCCACGTTTGCGTGAGTTTCTTCTGGGGTAATCCAGTTTCCTCCCACAATCCAAAAAGTGCAGATTAGGTGGATTGGCAATGCCAAATTGCTGATAGTGTCCAGAGATGTGCAGGTTAGGTGAATTAGCCACGGGAAAATGTGGGGTTACGAGGATAGGGTAGGGGGATAGTTTTGGGTGGGATGCGCTTTGGAGGGTTGGTGTCACCTTAGAATCCCTACAGTGTGGAAGGAGGCGATTCAATGATTCCCGCTTCCTCCTATTGTCTAAGACCAAATCTAAGTACCATCTAAGTACCAAACAATACCAACCTAGAAGAAAAATACATTTAAATGTGATGGAGTAGATATTGGTGTTAAATTGATTGAAAAGCAGTTTTGTGACTTCACTAATTTGTCATTGAATTGTAATATATTCTTAATCAATTTTAACCCTTGTACTTCAATAGGGAACCAGTGAGAAGGATCGTCCATGTGAAACATGTGGAAAGAATCTGGCTGACTGCATTGGACATTATGGTTACATTGACTTGGAGTTGCCATGTTTCCATGTTGGTTATTTTAAAGCTATTATTGGCATCTTGCAGGTAGGAAAAGTTACATACACAACAACAACAACAAAAACAAAGTTGCTGGAAAAGCTCAGCAGGTCTGGCAGCATCTGTGAAGGAGAAAACAGAGTTAATGTTTCGGGTCCAGTAACCCTTCCTCAGAACTGATGGTGGCTGGGAAAACGTCAGTTTAAATGCAGAAAATAGGGAGGTGGGTGGGGTAGGGAGTAAACAATAGGATGGGGCCCAAAGAGAGGGAAAGACATTTGGACAGACAAAGGATTTGCTAACGATCAGGCTGGGAGGGTGAATAGTTGTTACTGGGGACTGTTAGTGACTAACAAGGTGGGGGTGTGTAATGGCAGGCTATGTGATAACAAGGCCTAGTGTGTGGGGTAGGGGGCTGGGACATGGGAGAGTTTAGGCCCTAAAATTATTGAACTCAATATTGATTCCGGAGGGCTGTAGGGTCCCCAAGCGGAAAATGAGGTGTTGTTCCTCCAGCTTACGTTGTGCTTCACTGGAACACTGCAACAAGCCAGAGATGGAAATGTTGGCCAGGGAGCAGGATGATGCGTTGAAGTGGCAGGCAACAAGTAGTTCAGGGTCTTTTTTGCGAGCAGAACGTAGATGTTCTGCGAAATGGTCACCAAGTCTATGCTTCGTTTCCCCAATGTAGAGGAGACCACATTGTGAACAGCGAATGCAGTAGACTGGCTTCTGGGAAGTGCAGGTGAAGTGTTGCTTCACCTGGAAGGTATGTTTGGGCCCTTGGATACTGGGGAGGGAGGAGGTAAATGGGCAGGTGTTGCACCTTCGCCGGTTACAGGAGAAGGTGCCGTAGGGCTATGGGGAGGTGTTAAGGGTGAAGGAAGTGTGGACCAGGGTGTCCCGGAGGGAACGTTCCCTGCGGAAGGCGGACAAGGGAGGGGAGGGGAATATGTGTCTGAAACGTTAACTCTGTTTTCTCCTTCACAGATGCTGCCAGACCTACTGAACTTTTCCAGCAACTTTGTTTTTGTTCCTGATTTACAGCGTCCGCAATTATTTTGGTTTTTAAAAGTTACATACAGTTGCTGTTAATGTACTGATTCTGCAAACGGTAACCTTGTTGGTTAGCTATGGGATTGAAATTGATTCATGAAGAGAATTGTGTTGTACCGTATTCAAAGGGGTGCGAAGGATAGTCTAACTAATTATAGGCCATGCGATCTGCATTCCTTCATTGGGTGGGGTATTGAATACCAGCAGCGATTTAATCCTGGAACTGTGTCAGACACTAGTCAGGTCACAGCTGAATTTTTTTTGTACAGTTAGGCTGGCTACATTGCGGGAAGGACATAATTGTTCTCGATATTGTGCAGTGGGAATTTATAAGAATGTAACCAGGGTTTGAAAATTTTAGCTATAAGGAAAGATTAGATAGGCAAGAGTTGAATTCCTTAGAACAGAGCAGGTTGGGCTTGTGTAGAGTGGGTAGGAAATACCTATTTCGCCATAGTGGAGAGGCAGTTTACCAGGGACATAATTCATGGTAACTGATAGAAGAACTAGAGGGACCTGAAGAGATACTTGAAGGCTACCCAGTTTAGTGGTTGAAGCCTGAACCCTCAACTCATTTCAAAAAAAAACCTGAATCCTCATCTGAAATGCTTTAATCTGCAAAACTGTGGACCAGGTGCTGGGAAGTGGGCTTAAATTCATGGCTAGTTTATCCAGCCAATGCAGACATGAGAGGTTGTAGGGTCTCTTTCTACGCCATAACCTATGATCTAAAACTGGTTTGTTCAGCTGTGAAGGCAAACTGCCTCATGTTCTGAAACTAGTTTCTAGTTGTCTGCATTACATTTCTCTTTGATATATAAAGTTTTAAAAAGGAAAGAGTTTGGAAAATGGAAATGTCACAGAGCAGCAGGAAGCTCTGTGAACTTTGTGGATTAGGCCACCTGACATTGAAGTATTTGATGCTGTCAGTGTGTGGGAAGAAGTGGGCAGAGATCATCAAAGTATTTGCCATTTTTGACTTTGATAGATGTATCTGTATTTGAGCAAAAATGAGCCTGTGCACCTTGATTCTGGGTGACCTAATTTTCAAAATGGTCAACTTATGTACTGCAAATGCATTTCAACAATCTTGAAGAACCAACTGAGATTTTATTAGGAATGTTTTAGAGGGATATGGGCCAAATGCTGGTATATGAGACTAGGTCGGTTTAGGATATCTGGTTGGCGCAGACGAGTTGGACTGTTTTTGAGCTGTATAACTCTATGACTCTAATTATACTAAGTACCATTGCTGAAACACCTGCTCAGCTCAACAGGGAGAGTTTTGTGGTCACTATTTATTTTGATTTCAAGCTGCTGTCTCATCAAGCGGAGAATAATGAGCTAGGTTTTTCAGTTTTACTTAACCAGCATTAGGTCGGTCATAGGGAAGAAAAGAAAATACAATAGTAGGATGTGTTGTACCAATGAGTTTTTGAGCAGATTGAAAACAGTTGGAAGGGAGAACATATAATAACTGTTCTTTTCAAAAATTTGTTGCATCTGTATGGGCTGTATTTTAAGTTGTAACAAGCACTTGGTGCATTAAAGACGTTTGATTAGTTTATAATTTGGAATGTTCATGATAACATTGCTCTTCCTGTATTTCGTTATGAAAGTTTTGCAAACATAATATGGCAATTGCTATAGGGATTATTGCTGGGCCATAACTATTTACAGTATACACTAATGACTTGGATGGGGGAAGTGCAAGTACTATCACCAAGTTTGCAGATGACACAACTTTGGGTGGGAGGGCACGTGATGAGGATAACACAGTCTGCAAAGGGATATAGACAGGTTAAATTAGTAAGGGGAATAACTTAGCAGATGGAATATAATGTGGGAAAATGTGAAGCTATGAACTTTGGCAAGTAGAATAGAGGAGCTGATTCTTATTTAAGTGGAGAAAGACTGCAGAAATCTGCAACACAGATTTGGGGGTCCTTGTGCATGAATCACAGAAGGCTAGCATCCAAGATTGAGATGGGGAGGACCTTCTTTGGCGGTGGTGAATCTATGAAATTCTTTATGGCAGAAGTCTGTCAAGGCTGGGTTGTTAAGTATGTTCAAGATTGAGATAGATCGATATTTAATGTTTAAGGGGATGAAGGATTATGGGGATAAAGCAGGAAAGTTGTGTTTAGGATTTTCAGTTCAGTCACAATCTCATCAAATAGCAGAGCAGACTCGGGTCAGTTAGCCTACTTTTGATCTTATGTCAATTATTGCGCAGCAATTTGGCTTCTTGTATTTAATTTCCTGGGATATTGTAAACTGCATTTGATGTCCTTCAGGTAGGTTGTCCTTGGTTTGGATCCGAAACTTGCCCTCATGTTCCATTCCCAATCCCTGATTAAAAATCTAGTCCACCATGTCATACATGCAAATTTACCTGTAGTTGTCTAGGAAACTAATGATTCAAGCTGCTCACGCTGTGGCATGTTTACTTTTCCCAGATGATCTGTAAAGTATGTTCTCATATCTTGCTGTCTCAAGAAGAAAAGAAGCTGTTTCTTGATACTTTAAAAAGGCCTGGTTTAACCTATCTTCAGAAACGAGGCCTAAAGAAGAAAGTCTCTGAAAAATGCAGGAAAAGGACCTTCTGTCTATATTGTGGATCCTTCAATGGTAGGAGTTCATTGTAAATTATTGCTGATATTCTGTTAATTATGGAAGCTGTGCACAAAAATATCTTAACTTACTGTATCTGTGGTGAGTGTTTCAGATTGCATCATGTCACCATGTTCACTTATTTATCACTTCTATCACTGTTGTAAACCATGGGATATTGCTGGGTAGTGCATTCCATTTTTCTGACAAATTGATGAGTTAAAATTTTATCCCAGTTCCTAACAGAAGAGTCCGTAGCACAAACTTTTCCATAATTCTGTATTAAATAGGTAGCTGGTTATGAAAGGTCAACAAAACTGGAATCCCTAATGTATGTATCCCATGCCTTGTTTGACTGAATGTTTGCATGCATTTTGAGGCCACACTGAATGCTCTGATACCTTCAGGTATTCTGCTTTGTGTCTTGCTTTGAGGATAAGCTGACCAATAAAAGAGCATCTTCCACAAATAATCAGGAGCTTTCAGACTGCAAACAAAACAGTCCTGATCTTTGCACCAAAAGTATTTGTGTTGATTAACGTAGAGATTGAAAAGAAGAAAACAGTGGACATTTTGGCAAAGTACAGAAGGGTTTAATTAGCCTGCGAATCTTTCAAAAAAAGACTTTACTTGTATTTAGGAATAGCACCCGATAAAAATCCTTTTACCTCGTGGCAAAATCTTGCATCAAACCTTGAAGAACTTGTAAAAAATGTGGTCAGGGTGGAAGTCAGCCAAATGAGATGCCTTATTTTATCAACAGGATCCTTGCGTAAGAATAGCTGTTCAGTCCCTGAATTGGCCTGAATATTAAAAGTAAATGGGTTTTTAAATCGCCAACTTTGCTTGACTCAGTTGATAGTAATGTTGCCTCTGAGTCAGAACACTATGGGTTCAAGTTCCCCATCAAAACTTGAGCACATGTAGGTTGACACTCCAGTGCTGAAGTTAGGCAGGATTGTCAAAGGTTTTTTTTTGGATGAGACGTAAAACTGAAGCCTCCTCAACCCGGTCTAACAATTAATTGTGTTTTAAATTTCAAACTGTTATTCAACAAAGAATAAGTCTCTATAATCTTCCTCCTTCACCCAAGACTGCCAAAAACCAGATTAACTATGAATTCATTTTGTTCTTTGTAGGGTTTTGCTGTTTGTATACACACAACATGGAATTTTTAATGTGATTCATTCAAGATGGATTGTTTCAGGCTCCTTCTGAAATGTTATAAAGTATGATAAGACCACAGAAATAAGAACAAGGGCAGGGCACTGGGCCCCTCAAATCTGCCCTGCCATTCAACAAGATTATGGATGATCTTGCCCTAGTTTCAACTCCTCTTGTGTACCAGTTTCTCATTGCCTTGAACTCCTGATATTTTGAGATCTGTCTACCTTTTATTTAAATGTTTTCAGTGTTCTCGCCTCCACTACTGTCTGGTGTAGAAAATTACATCCATAACTCTCTGGGAGACAAAATTCTTTAACTTTTTAGTCATTTACTACTAATTCCTGGAAATAAAAGGCCCAAATCCTCTGGTCTACCACCAGTTTTTGCTATTTTGTCTGCCTTAGTTTTTGTTTGGATACGCTCCTTGACTACCTTTGTTAACCTCAGGTAGCTTATCCTTCTTATCAAGTCCTTATTTTTGACTAGAATACATTTTTGTTCAGAAATATGAAATATCTGCTTAAATGTTTGCCCCTGCTCATCCACTGACTATCCCCTTGATCTATTTTCCCAGCTTGCTTTAGACAACTCCTTCCTCATTCTTCTGTAATATCTCTTTCTTAAGTTCAGGATACTGATTTGAGCCCCAGGTTACTCTCCCTCAAACTGAATTTGAAATTTTACTATGTTGAAATCTCTACTCCCCCAGAGGCAGCCACAGGATCTCTTATTAATCCTACCTAATTACACGTTACTAGATCTAAAATAGCTTGTTTTTTGGGAAACGTCTGAAATGTATTGCTCTTAAAATAAAAATCAATCCTTGATGCACTTTATAAATTTGCTTTCATGTTAACCAAGCTCATTTGATTTGTCAGGTCGCTATGCTGATTATAATCATCCATGCCAATTGTAGTGCCTTTCTTTGACGCCTCCATTGCTTCGCAATTTATACTTTGTCCCACAGTGAGTGATCCCTCCAGGGATTATAGAGAACTTCCATTGATGACTCCTTTTCCTTGCTGTTCCTTATTCACATCCAAACTGATTCCACACCAATATCACTACTCATCACCAGACTGGTACCTTATTTTGATAACCTTATTATTTTTAATTAGCATTAGAAATCCCAAGAACTTAAAACATTTTCCGACCCTTATCCCAAATTGGACAGCTTTCTGTATTTTTTTTTTCAGCTAGTTCTGTTGTTAAAAATGTTGGCACTTTATTTTAAAAGGTCCTGTGAAAAAATGTGGCTTATTGAAAATTATTCATGAAAAGTACAAGACAAATAAGAAAGTGATGGATCCTGTGGTATCGGATTTTCTACAGTCTTTTGATATTGCCATAGAACATAACAAAGAAGTGGAGGCGTTGCTTGGAAGAGCTCAGGTTAGTATTGTGATCTTCAAGTTCTGCATCTTATTATCAAATTGAATATTCTTGTATAGTCTTATCAGTTGTATGGATTGGTAAGATTGATAATGTGAGGTCCATTTGAGAACCTGCTGTGCTCTTGAATGTAATTACTCATTAAAGAGAATATGAACTATGCAATAAAATTAACTTTAGCACTTCAAATTCTAATATCTCTATTAGAATTTAAATGTTTAATTGACAATCACTGTAAAGGTTTTCACAGAGCTAATCTTTTAACTAGAGTATTGTGATAGATATGGACACTGCAGCACCGATTTTTGGATATATACTTTAATTTGTGCGCTATTGAGGTACACTACTTTGTTAAAGTTTGCTTGCAGAACATTTCTGAATGCAACATTAATTTATATCACTGGCATTTGGGGAAAAGAAGTTGTAACAACTCTGTTACTTCATATTTCAGGAGAATCTAAATCCCCTTGTGGTGTTAAATATGTTCAAAAGAATTCCCTCAGAAGATATCCCACTGCTGCTTATGAATCTGGAAGCAGGAAAACCTGCAGACCTGGTGCTTACTCGATTGCTAGTTCCTCCACTTTGTATCAGGCCTTCTGTGGTCAGCGATCTTAAATCGGGAACTAACGAGGACGACCTAACAATGAAGCTGACAGAAATCATCTTCTTAAATGATGTAATTAAAAAGGTCAGGCCACGTTTCTAGTACTGATATTTTGTACAGCATTGTAATATAGTATTTGATGATGCACATGTGTTTAACATGCAGATCTGTCGTGTACTAATCTGCTATCTAATAATTACAATAAGTAATACGGATCCTAAATAATAGCTTTCTTGAAAAGGCATTCCCTGAAAACATTAGCTAAGATTAGCCAAAATGGGTGTAAGTTTGTCTTTGTTCCTTACGTATATTTGTTCTCCACTTACCTTTTGACTTTATATTTGAAGATTGGTCTTTAATGTTCTCATTGTGATCTGAAGTGTGAAACATTTAATATAATTTCATCATTTCATTCCTAGTGCCCTTGTTAAGTGAGAGAAAAATGAGCAAAAATTCCCACTCCTACCCAACAGTAATGATGCCCTGTGTATTTCCAGTTCTTACAAAGGGGTTTTTTATGTCACTGGCAAGGATTGATACATTTGGATCAAATGTAGGATTGTAATATCAAGTTAAATACTCAATATTTTAATAGTTTGAATATTAAGATATTTTGATATTTGAGAGAATTGGTGCACATTTAAGATGATACATCACGCAAGTAACTGATTTTATGAAAAGTTTCTGTAAAATTTTATGTACAGCAAACTTTGTTTTAACTGGCACCTTATGAACTGGCCCTCTTGTTAAACCGGCAAAAAAACTATATGCCTAAAATGCCAGAAATTTATCGTATTATCGCAGTCTCCACCATGTCCAAGTAGTTAGTCAAGGGTGCGAATAAGAAGGCTGTCTGCAGGTGAGTTTTATTTAAATGATGCGGTAAACAAAATATAACAATGATATGTATACTCCTGCATTACTTAGCGCGTGTTTATGCATTGATTATGTGGACCTCTTGATCAATTAGAACATTTGATCAAGCAGCAAACTCCTGGTCCCATAGGTGCCAGTTAATAAAACATTTGCTGTATAATGTTTATAAGACATCAGAATTGTGGTATTCTAAATTTACACATTTTGTTTGAACACAAATTGCTACTGCACTGAAATTGCATATTTAAAAAAATGCAGAAAACTGTACTTTCCAGAGAAACCTCAGGAATACTAGAGGGGTTGAAGTCTTTTGTTATTTATTCAAGTAATGTGGGCTTCGCTGACTAGACCAGAATTTGTTGCCCTTGAAGATGGTGGTGAGCTGCCTCCTTCAACTGTTGCAGTCCATTTATTGTATTTATGCTCACAATGCTGTTAGGAAGTTCCAGGATTTTGACTTATGAAGGCATGGCAACGTATTAAGTAAGATGGTGAGTGACTTTGAAGGGAACTTGCAGGGGTGCTGTTCCTATGTATGTGCTACCTTTATCCTAGACTTTAGTGACCTTGGGTTTGGAAGATGTTGTCCAAGGAGCCTTGCTGAATTTCTGCTGTGCAACCTGTACATTGTACCCACTGCCGCTACTGGGTGTTGGTGCTGGAAGAAATGAATATTTGTGGATGTGGTAATGATCAGATGGGTTGCTATGTCTTTAATGATGTCAAGCTTGATGAATGTTGTTGCACTCATTCAAGCAAGTGGAGAGTATTCCATCACTCACCTGCCCTATGTAAGTTAGTCACTGCAGGTTCTTAGCCTCGAATATGTTCTTGTAGCCACAGTATTTAAATTTCTAGTGAAGTTCAATTTATTTTCAATGGTAACTCGTAGGATGTTGTTAGTGTGGGATTCAACAGTGGCACACAATTGAACGTCAAAGGATCTTGGTTTATAGAAATGGAAGATTTTTCTTTTTGAAGCAAAAAATACTTGTATCAAGCATACTCTGATGCAAAATGCCTTTTATTCAGTTAGTTTTCGGCCTAAGTTTGATTAAACATAGAAACGTAGGAGCGGGAGGAGGCCATTTGGCCCTTTGAACCTGCTTCACCATTCTTCATTATGGTGGCTGATCGTCCAACTCGATAACCTAATCCTGCTTTCTCCCCATAACCTTTGACCCCATTCACCCCAGGTGCTATATCTAGTTGCCTCTTGAATACATTCAATGTTTTGGCATCAACTACTTCCTGTGGTAACAGGCTCACCACTCTTTGGGTGAAGAAATGTCTCCTCATCTCCATCCTAAATCGTCTGTCCCGAGTCCTCATACTGTCACTCCTGGTTCTGGACACACCCACCTTCGGGAACAACCTCCCTGCATCTTCCCTATCCAGTCCTGTTAGATTTTTATAAGTCTCATTCATCTGAAATCTAGCGAAAACAATCCCAACCTAGTCAATCTCTCCTCATATGTCAGACCTGCCATCCCTGGAATCAGCTTGGTAAACCTTCGCTGCACTCCCTCAAGAGCATCCTTCCTCTTAAAAGGAGACAAAACTGTACACAATATTCGAGGTGTGGCCTCACCAAGGCTCTGTATAACTGCAACAACACATCCCTGCTCCTGTACTAAAAACCTCTCGTAATGAAGGCTAACGTACCATTTGCCTTCTTTACCGCCTGCTGCACCTGCATGCTTACCTTCAGTGACTCGTGCACAAGGACACCCAGGTCACACTCCTGTCTCCCAATTTACAGCCGTCAGATAGTAAGCTGCCTTCTTGTTTTTGCTTCCAAAGTGAATAACCTCACATTTGTCCAAATTATATTGCGTCTGCCATTGATTTGCCCACTCACTCAACAGAGTAAGTTCCTAAACTCATCCACCCACCTACAAACCTGCAGCACTTTGTATTTCTTCAAAGAAACCCTCTCATTGGGTTTATCTATTTCAGATTGTGTTTAATTCTGGAAGATTTTATTCTACAGAATATATGATTAATTTACATTAGATAAATGTGAGGTGCTGCCTTTTAGAAAGGCAAATCAGGGCAGTACTTATACACTTAAAGGTAATTTCCTGGGGAGCGTTGCTGAACTAAGAGACCTTGGGGTGCAGGTTCATAGTTCCTTGAAAGTTGGGTCGCAGGTAGATAGGATAGTGAAGAAGGTGTTTGGTATGCTTGCATTGATTATAGGAGTTGGGAGGTCATGTTGAAGCTGTACAGAACGTTGGTTAGGCCACTTTTGGAGTACATGGTGCAATTCTGATCTCTCTGCTACAGGAAGGATGTTGTGAAACTAGAAAGGGTTCAGAAAAGTCTTACAAGCATGTTGCCAGGGTTGGAGGGTTTGAGCTGTAGGGAGAGGCTGAATAAGCTGGGTCTGGGGAATGAGCTGCCAGAGGAAGTGGTGGAGGCTGGTACCATAACAACATTTAATAGACATCTGGATGGGTATATGAATAGAAAGGGTTTAGAGGGATATAAGCCAAATGCTGGCAAATGGGACTAGATTTATCTAGGATATCTGGTTGGCATGGACAAATTGAACCAAAGGGTCTGTTTCCATACTGGACATCTCTGTGACTCTGTTTACAAGCAAGTCAAAGACTGAAGACATCTGGACCATTAGTATTGGCTGCTATTTGAACTTGGATCATTATAGTTATATCTGAGTAAGGCAGTATTTCTTGGAGGGGACTGAAGCAACTTGTTCTGGTGATACAAAGTTTTCTTTGTCATCACAAAACGAGAGGGGCTCTAATTGGTATCTAGTTAAACAAAAAGAATGCACAACTGTGACTTTTGCTTTACCTCTGTGTATATGTATCTGATGCAGCAATTTTGCTATTTGTGCATAGTGCAAAACACACGTACTTGTTCGAGAAATAATTTTGGAAAATCTGTCATGTAGCAGCTTCAAGACCTCTTAGTCTTGATATATTTTCAATGTTTTCGATATTAAGATCCCCATAGAGACGTATAATATTTAAAAATTATTTGAGCTTCCAATTAGCTGAACAGATTACAGGATTTCACATTTTAAGACTTGTTGTAACAAACAGACTAAATGCACTGTCGACTAAACACATTTTTGTAGGCAACTCAATTCAATTTACAGAACTGAATGCCCCCTCACTCCTTATTTTTCATGCAACAAAAGAACACTATAAGGTATAAATTATACTGTCTTTAACCAGACATTAAATTCTCCCAGATCAGTCCAAAATGCTTTTTAGCTCCCGATGATTTACTACTTTTCCTTTCTCAACCTGGTAATTTCTAAACTGAGAACTGATCTTCAAAGTGTAAGTATGAGTGTAGATCTTCCTCCTAGCATGAATTAGACAAATCTTTCAGCTTTCTTTTCAACTCCTCAAATTTGATGTTTTTTAATCTGAGCATGTGCTTCTCCTTGCATTCCTGTACAGTGAACATAGAAACCTTAAATCTTCACCCGCTACCTCCCAGATCTTGACAGACTAACCCATCATCTGCAATAGCCAATGGTATTTTAAGAAAACATATAAACTCTTTTTTACGCTGGCCTCCTGCACCTTTTGAAGTGGCAGTGTTAATCACATGGGTGAAAATGCCATTTGGCTATCCTTGAGACCCAATTCTCTTTGACCTTGGAAGTAAGCAGTTTAAAGCACAGCTGTTTACAATCTGACTTTCTCAATACTTTTCTGAAACTTTGGAGACTTCCAGTCTATCCACTGTTAGCATATAGCTGGCTGGAACTGTCTCCAAGTATAAATACCTTGCACTTTCTTTCCTGTAAGACAATCTGGGCCTTTTAAGCTCTAACAATCAAAACACACAGAGTTTGTTCAGGCAGACTTTAGGTCAGGTTACACGACTCCCTTAAGTACGGTCTTATAAACCTCATAACTCTCCCATTAGCTACCTGCTATGATGTATAAGCATCTTGACTTCTCAGCAAAGCAAATTAGATACTGTCTTGTGACCACTGTTTTAACTTTGTTTTTACATTACATTCAATACACCATACATTGGTATATTATATATTAAGCATATTAATGCATTAAACATATATTAGGAAATTTTTGTAAATTTCACACTGGACAAAAGCAACAGCTTTCTGTTCTTTGTATAGTTTTTCTTTTTAACTATGCTTCTTTCCTGTGGGGAAATTAGTACTCTTTAGCCCTGTAGATACATTGTAGCTGCCCCAAAACTACATCTGGCGTACTGTCACTCTGCCTTTCCAAATTCTCCGCTTCTTCTCTGTATCAGAACCTAAGTCATGCCTACCCTATTATTTTGCTTTGTTTCACTGTGATCCAACTTCTCCACCAAATCAATTTTCTTTTCTGACACAGAATGAGGCTGGATGAAAGTCATTGTGTACTATCAGCAAAAACATCAAAGAAATGTATAACTTAAATATTTGAACTACCTACAGAATAGAGAAGATACGGAAGGAAGAGAAAATTTGAAGGAAGTAAAGCTTAAGGAATAAAAGTGTTTTAGATAAACAGATTTGACTAGCATTTATATACTGTTACTGATGTCAAAAAGATATCTTGGACTCACTGTTTTGGAAACGCTGGTACAGACCCATATAGTGAATTGGACATGAGTATTCTTGAGGTAAAATTAGATTTAAAATGGTTTTTCAAGCATAAATCTTGTCTCTGAAAAAGAGGGATATAGAAATTGCCATAACATTACGAACTGTTGCTGTAAAATGTCACCATAGCCTTACCATAGGGTTCCTGTCTCATACAAGAGAGATGCTGGTTATTTAAGCTGAAGGTCACTACACCTCAGGCAATGGGAGAGGTTGAGAAGAAGAATCCTTCATGGTAACTTCAGCTGGTGCAGGATTGAACCCACACTGTTGGCACTATGTATCGCAAACCAGCTGTCCAGCCAAATGAGCTAGACTGACCCCTGTCAGTATGTAGTCCATTTGTAAATATCAGTTCAAAATCCATTTGGATGCCTCCATTTCAAAAAACAGAATTGGATGATGAACTTTCTTTTTCCTCAGCATCGAATGTCTGGAGCAAAAACTCAAATGATCATGGAAGACTGGGATTTCCTACAATTACAGTGTGCACTTTACATTAATAGTGAACTTTCTGGAATTCCTCTCAACATGGCACCCAAGAAGTGGACCAGAGGGTTTGTACAAAGGCTGAAAGGAAAACAAGGTAGCTTACTTCACAGTACAGTGAACTTCTTTCTGTTAAATGTAATTAAATGACAAACGTAATTTAACAAATGCTTCCCACAATGATTCCACGACTGAACAAAAAAGTACATTTGAATATCTCCACAATTAATGCTATTATAATATTCCAACATAATAGAAAATCAATGAGGCCAGCAGTCTTAAGAAATTGGATAATTAATTCGAACATCAGGTGCCATGAAATGCATGATCTCCTGTGTATTTCTTTAAATGACAGGCCTTTTGAGAAGCCATAAACTTAATTCCATGCATAAAGCTTAAAAAAAAATGTTGGCTATATTTAGGTTTTTTGTCACTTCCCATGGGAATTACTAACTCCATTGACTTAACATTAAGATCTTGATCTTCATTAAGCCGTGTTTCCATCTTGATTTCTGTTGTGTTCTTGTCACCACCCCTCCCCATCATCGCCCGAAAACCACCCCCCAAAAAAATGTAACTGTTAAATATACAAGTTCGGCGTTTGAGGCATAACAACACACCTGGGAAGATTATTTATAGGGGTCTGTAAGACTGAAAAAGTTGTTGGTTTTCTGAAAGGCCTAAAATATAACAATATACCATACTGGAAGAATTTTAATAATTAATGGTAACTCATTTAAAATCGAACTTCAGGTCGATTTCGAGGAAACTTGTCTGGTAAAAGAGTGGATTTTTCCAGCAGAACTGTAATCTCTCCTGATCCTAACCTACGTATAGATGAAGTAGCAGTTCCAGTACATGTGGCAAAGATCCTGACATATCCTGAAAGGGTGAGTTCTTATTTAAGGATTTTCTTTACTCTGTAATGTAAAGTGTCTGTTAAAGTGTATTCACCGAGATATTTTACAACAGGTGACAAAAGCCAACCTGGAATTTATGCGGAAGCTTGTACGTAATGGACCTGAAGTGCATCCAGGGGCTAATTTTATTCAACAGCGACACACAAATCTGAAGAGGTAATCATTCCCTATTAAGTTTTATAGCTGAAGGGTCTCTATTTATATCTTTCCCTTCCCAATTTTAAATATTAATTGGTCTTCAGTTTAGCTTGTGTTCTCTCAACAATGATACTGTAGGGTTGCCGATGCTGGAGTCGGAGATGTCAGTGTGGAGCTGGAGGAACACCGCAGGCCAGACAGCATCAGAGGAGCAGGAAAGCTGATGTTTCAGGTCGGGACCCTTCTTCAGAAAAGATTTCTGAAGAAGGATCCTGACCCAAAACGTCAGCTTTCCTGCTCCTCTGATGCTGTCTGGCCTGCTGTGTTCCTCCAGCTTCACACTGTGTTATCAAGGATACTGTGGGATTGTGTTCAATAACGCCCGAGATTGGTCCGTGGCAAAAATAGCCTCTCTTATTGAGCATCTGCAGTGCACAGTTTGAGGCGGCAATGGAATCCAAAGAACAGTTTTACCGTAGCCTCTTTTATACGTAAATTTTAATATATATAAAAACTTACAACTGTGTGACACTATGGTGCTACCTATTGTACGTAAGTTTGCGTAACATCTGTCATGGGGAAGCACGAGATAGTTTTAAGTACTTGCTAAATGCTGGCTGTCACTCCTGATGGGATTGGAATGTCTGTCCGGTCTGAGCTTGCATAATTGAGGTGTTTGTCCTTTTGTCTTTAAAGTTAGTAATGTTAGTAAAAATACTAGACCGATATGATCTGAATAAGTGAGAAATTATATTTGTGCTAAATACAAGTATAGAGGATATTAAACTGATCTCCCGCAGCTGGGTCGTCAGATTTCATCTACTATTGCTGGTTTTTGATAGTTCCTACGCATTCATTCGTGCATTTTCACGGAAGTGCAGTTTTGATAGTAAATTTCTTAAAGAGGGTAGCAGCCCTATTTAATATGTATTTAAAAGTATAAATCTGTACGTTAGTACAAGATGGTAGTCCTAAATAAAAGTTAGAAATAGGTAGCACAGTTTTATTAGAAAGAGGTATTGCGTAAGGAAATTTCGTAAGGAAAGTGATAAAAAGCAGCAAATTGCAGGGACATGCTGGAGGAGAAAACTGATGTCCTGCACCCTATTCAGATCCCAAGGGATGGTTACTAAGGGCTAATTATTATAATAATCTTTCCATAGTTTGAGTGAGTTATGGATGATGGTGGGGATAGCATTGTTCTGAGTAGGTTGCAGAATTAATGCTTATTCAGGGGTAGCCTTTGATACTGAAACAGGTCTAAACACTGCTTGCAGCGTGGGGCCAATAAGAATTAAAAGGTGTAAAGAAACAATAATGGGTTGGCAGCCTAGGAAGGGAAGTTTCATTTAGTTTATCTTGTAAGAGTAAAATGTACTCCAAAAATGCAGTTTTATGAATGAATGAATGGAAACGTGGTATAGTAAACATAGAGCGCCATTCTACAATATCTCACAATACAGCATGGAGACTTAAATCACGATGAAGTTAGTAATTTGTTTTTTTTCAATTCCTTCAGCTGGTTGTTTTTTGTTTTGAAAGGCAGTTTTCGCAGTTAGAGCCTCTGTGTATTGTTGAGTTCAGCTTTCAGTATTGATGATTCAAGTCATAGGGAAATGGTGGCAAAGTGTTAATGATAAAGTAATAGGCTTGGGGGCATTGGTTCAAATTCCACCATGGCAGTTGATGATATTTAAATTAATTTAATATAAGAAAATCTGGAATTGAAAGCTAGTATCAGTAGTAGTAACCATGAAACTATCCTTGATTATTGTAATACATCTGATTCACTAATGACCTTTAGGGACAAAAATCCACCTTTCTTGTCTGACCTTCAAATGACTCCAGACCAACAGAAATGTCATTAACTTTTGACTGCCATGTGAAGTGGCTGAGCAAACAACTTAGTTTGAGGACAATTAAGAATGGACAACAAGTGCTAGCCTTGCCAGCAAGACCCATATCCCACGAAATAATTTTTTAAAACCTAAGTCAACTGCATAGCATAAAACATACAATAACATAACAGACTTATCTTATTGTGCGCAGGGCAATTTCTATGAACTAACTGTCACCATTCATTTATTATTTATAAATGAATGCCGAACATAAAATTGCAAATTTTTGTCACTCACTATTCTAACCGTGGACTGATTGTGAGGTTGTGATATGCCCTTGCATATTTTCCCAGCTTTCTTTTGAACTGAAAGTTTGGAAAGGTGAAATAATCTGTAAACTGCTCCATTGTGTGATTGAATGGGTTGTAGGATACTATTGTACATTCAAGTGCCTCTTTCGATTTCCAATATTTTAGCAGCTACCCAATGTTTGTACCAAACGTTTTGGTTGTGTTAAAATATAAATTACTCTTCTAGGGATGAATGTAAATATACAGAAAAACAGAAATTATGTTCATGAATTGCCTAATTGTTTTTCCTCTTGAAATAAAGATTTCTAAGATATGGAAATAGGGAGAAAATGGCACAAGAACTGAAGTACGGTGACATTGTGGAGCGACATCTAATTGATGGAGATGTAGTCCTGTTCAATAGACAACCATCCCTGCACAAACTGAGCATCATGGCCCATATTGTAAGTGTTCTTTAATACCTTGGGTTCTATAAACCAATTGTTTCATATTGATCTTTTCAGTTACTTCATTATTTTTGAAGTACATCAAAATAACTTGAATAGATTTTGTATATCAGCTACTATATCCCAGTAGTGCAAAAAGGTTTTGACTGTGTTGCTAATATTTTGTACTCTTGGTGGATTTTACACGTGTGTGCAGTGTGAAAGTTTAAAAAATAAAATATTTAGGAATATATTTGGTTTAAATACAGTACAAATTGCATAAGTAGAATTTTTGTAATTAATTCTATTTTTACTCTTTCAAACCTCCCGATTCCTCAACTCACCCTCGCCCAAATTATATTATGATCTTCTAATATTTTGCTGATAGTTGACCCAGTATTTGTCAAGTTATAACCAAGATCAGTATTTTTTATAAAATGTGAAGTCTGCCAAGGGTGGGAAAAGGAAATTGTAGTTTTATGTATTGATATAAATTTCAGGCCAAGGTGAAACCGCACAGAACATTCCGGTTCAATGAATGTGTCTGCACACCTTATAATGCAGATTTTGATGGTGATGAAATGAATCTTCATCTTCCTCAAACTGAGGAGGCCAAGGCTGAAGCACTGGTTCTAATGGGGGTAAGTGCCATTTGATTCCGTTGATGTACTCTTTAACACAGGTGGGGCTGAATTGAAATGACCCCTTTGTTTTATTAACCGATGTGAGTTAATCACTAAATGCCTATTCTTCAGCATGGTCAAAGGTTTGACGAGATCAGAATCAATAAAACAGACTTATTATGGAACTTAAATTGATCAGATGACCTATTCCATTCAAATAGTGAAGAGGCTTAGTTTAATACATATATAATGTTAATTTATCCAGGAGCTGTGCCTTGAGGGCTGGGATTAGTCAATTAATTCTTATCTTCCACTGAAGAATAAACCAAAAACCGAGCTACAGTGTCCCCGATCTGACCATTCAGGACCACCACTGTGTACATTTTTCCAGATTTTGATACCAACCTATTCTGTTCCTTCGCATAGCCTTCACAGAAAGGGAGAGAAATGGCTGATTTCTAATTATCCCACCAGAAAGTAGTCAGGTTTGTTCTAATTGGAACATACCTGCCAGTGCAACAGGCAACTTTATATTCGGAAAATAGGGAGGGCTGTGGGGACCCGCTTCTTAAAGTGCTGAAATACACTCCAGTCCTGTCTGTGCTCAAATTTCTTTAATTCCATCTTCTGATATTAGCCCAAGAATAGCCACTTTATGCTTAAACTTACTGTGGTCTGGGAGCACACTCAGTGGAAAATGCCTAGTTTTGGGACAATTCCAGGGTTTAGATAGCTGGATTTGTAACACACTACCTATGTAATAACCATTTAACCTAATTTTCATATTTGTAATGTAGCACCTTCTCCCGTTAACAGGATGCTGTGGGTAGTAATTTAACATGTATTTTAAGGTTATGAAATCTGGGGCTACCAATATTGACAAGGCAATTTAAAGAAAGTACTTGTGCACCATGTTGCAATGACCTCCGGAGATCCCGATGTGCTCACAACTGTCTATTCATTTTTGAAGTGAGATTACTGCTGTTTTGTAGACAAATGTAGCTAATTTGTGCGCAGCATGGGTCCCCGAAGAGTAAATACGATAAGTCTACTTTTTTTGTAGAAGTGTGAAAGATGTTGTTTAAAACACCAATTTTATTAACCTTAGTATTTTAGTTGGCAAATATCAAGAAACCTACTTGGGTGAAGCTGGAACACAACAGAGGAATGATAAACTCAGTTATTTCAAATATCCTAATCTTGTAAGGCAGCTTCCTCATTTTTATTCTAAAATGAAAATAAAATACTGTGGATTCTGGAAGTCTGAACTAGAAACAGAGATTGCTAGAGAAACTGAAGAGGTCTAGCAGCAACTATGGAGAAAGTAACGAGTAATGTTTCGAGTTAAATATAACTCTTCAGAAAGTTAACATCCATAGATACTGCTGACCTGCAGAGTTTAACTAGCACCTTCTGTTTTTATTCCTTGCTTTCATGGCCTTCTTAACTAGTAGGTTAATACTCAGGCCCTTTTTGCTTGGTTTGTGCTACAAATTGTTTATCCAAGCTCTCTACTTTAACTTTGTCTGACTGGATCTAACAAGTAAATATGTCTTATTCTCTGGAGCATTGGACATATATAAAAATGATTGCAACTGAGTTAGTTTACCGTTGCACAATTCATTTTCTTTTCTCTTTAGACAAAAGCCAATTTGGTAACTCCTAGAAATGGGGAACCTCTTATTGCTGCAATCCAGGACTTTCTAACAGGTGAGTTAGATTTGAGTTTGCTCAGGTCACCCTTTGGGATTTCATGGAAAGGATCTGTTCAGAATGATGAAACTGTTGAGTACAAAGCCCCTGTGAATCAACTGTAATTTAGATTCTCAGCAGACTTAATTTCTTCCAAGTTCAGACCAAATGTACATGTAACCAACCATTTTCTGAGGTTTTAGTAAATGTTATAACTTAATTAAAAGCAGAAAATGCTGTATACTCAGCAAGTCAGGCTAATGTGCTGAGAGAGGAAAACTCCTTGTTGTTTCAGGTCATTACACTTCTACCAGAACAGCTCTTGCTGACATACCGAATAATCTTTCTTTTTTTGAATTTCTATTGCTAACATGCACATTAGTATTTAATTTGTTAGCATTTATTCGTAATTGCGTTGAGGTGTTTGATTGTTAAAAAATCATTACATTAGATTTTCTTTTTGCTTAGAAAGTGAGTGTGCAAGTGAGATTGTACTGTTGGATAACAACAGCCTACTTTGTATCAACGTCAAAAGCATGACCCATGTTTTGTTTCAATGAAGTAAATATTGTAAGATTACATTTCTGAGGCTTCGAACTTAGATATTGCTTGCTGTTCATTTATGAACAGTATACAAGTGACAAATATCAGTCTATACAGTTCAGGATTTTATCTGGATTCAAAACGTAAGCACTCTGAAAACAGTGTTTCCTGTTTTTATTTTGTAAAGGTCTGCTTTCTTCTTCTAGTCTGTAACCAGAGCTATCCTCAAACAGGCAACCAGCTGGCACGTTGAGAACACCCAAGATTTAGGAATATTTCCCTTCCCATCACAACTTTTCCTTATAGGAGATGCATGTCTTGTCCCATAGTTGGTAGAATGGAGCTCAGTAATTTGGTGCTTGGAACTATATGTAGACAGAAAGAGATTCTGAAGTTACTTTTCATATCTATACACAGTATTAAGTAGGAAAATTATGTGCTGATTTCTCACATATATACACCTGGTTTTATCCATGGCTGCTGGAAAATATTCTGTTTTGAAAAGATATTTCATTATTGTTTGTCCAGGTGCCTATCTGCTTACCAGGAAAGACACTTTCTTTGACCGAGCCAAGACATGTCAGATCACTGCTGCTATTCTTTCAGGCAAAGATGAGCGAATCAAAATTAGTCTTCCACCTCCTGCAATCTTAAAGGTGATACATCCGTCTATTTTGAAAAACTGAAGGAAGCAGTCGAAACTGAGTATGCTGAGAACTTGAGCAGTTCTTTATTTCACAAGATTATAAATAAGAGGCAGTTTTTATGCAGCATATGTTTATAATACCATATGGTAATTTTCCACAAATGGAGATTATGCAGGATGTGCAACTAACATGATTTACACAATTTAACTTGAACTTATTTTTACCAAATAGTTTATGTATCTCCTACTGAATCATTTTTTTAAACTTCATTACAGACTTATGTAAAATTTTATAAGCATGCGGATTTCAAATCATTGAGATTTATGCATACTTCCCATTTCGGTTATTGCTCCACCATATTGTCATGTATTGTTAACATGTTTGTAATCAGGGCTTTACCAGATTGAGATTTAAGAGGTGAGATTGAATTAAAATTTAGATTGAATTAAGATTTAGCTTGACAGTGAGCTTTTATCCCAGATCTGCTGCATTATATGGTATGTATATTAAAATATGTGACTTGACAGTTCCAGGCATTGGATCTGAATAACATGCTGCCATTCCACTTTCACCCAGAATACATAAGAAACAGCTATCAGCCTCCAAATAAAATCAGGCAGTCCTTAGCCACATTCAGCAAGCCTGGAGAAAGGGTATTGGACAGAGGACAAGGAAAGCTAATTGTTTTTATGGGGCCTTGGGGAAAAGAAGAAATAGTTTTTAAAATATGTAGAGCTCCTTCAGCTTCTTGATCCTCTCCAAACTAGCCTTAAGGTGACAAGAAAACCAAGATGCTTCTAAGCTCAAATAGAAATTATAATATCCATTGGGAGCTGGATGGTGTTCTCATACACCAGTTGGTAATAGTGAATTGGGTCTCATAAGCCTGTTTTCAAGGTGGAATTCCCTGTCTCCCTCACTGGTAAATATATGTTTTGGGGTAAGTCAATTTTGAACTCCATCTGTAAACATGTGGCCCTTTGGTTGATAAAAAAAACCACTGAACATTTCATAGCAGGCAACTTGAACGGCCTCATCACTGATAACTGTCCATTTTGAACTATATGTAAATTTGCAGGGAACATAGCAATTGTTCCAAAGTTTTTGATAAAGTTGATAAACAAATGCCTGAATTTTGAGAGGTGTATACAATTCAATGAAGTTTATATTGCTTGTGGTTTATTTAATTCCATGTTTATGATATAAAGTACATAATTAATATTTAATGGCTGCTGTCCTTGAATCTGTTGCAGAAAAGTTGGAATTGTACATTTCTTTGTAAATCCATTCTATGTGGATGAGAACTAAGCATGTTCTATGCTAAAGTGCAAAATAATATTATAATGTATCCTTTACAGCCTGTGACGTTGTGGACAGGGAAGCAAATTTTTAGCCTCATTCTTAAACCAAACAAGGACTGTCCTATTAAGGCAAACCTGCGTACCAAGGGCAAACAGTACTGTGGAAAAGACGAAGACCTCTGTTATAATGACTCCTGTAAGTCATGTAAAATTTTATTCTTTCAAACAAAAAACTTCAAATCTTCAAAACATAATGTCGCTTTCTAGAAAGCGGAATGAAGGGTAGAATATAACGCAATATTTACACTCTTTGTTGTGAAACTTGAAAGGGTTCAGAAAAAATCTGAGGATGTTGCCACGGTTGCAGAATTTGAGCTATAGGAAGAGGCTGAATAGGCTGGGGCTCTTTTCCCTGGAGCATCGGAGGCTGAGGGGACATTGTATACAAATTTATAAAAACATGAGGGGCATGGATGGGTGAACAGCCAAGCTGTTTTCTCTAGGGTAGGGGAGTCCAAAACTAGCAGGCTTAGATTTAAGGTGAGAGGGGAAAGATTTTAAATGAGACCTAAGTGGCAACTACTTCATGCAGAGGGAGGTGCGTGTATGGAATGAGCTGCCAGAATAAGTGGTGGAGGCTGGTACAGTTACGACATTTAAAAGACATCTGGATAGGTACATGAATAGGAAGGGTTGAGAGGGATATGGGCCAAATGCTGGCAAATGGGATTAGATTAATTTAGGATATCTAGTCAGCATAGACAAGTTGGACTGAAGGGTCTGTTTCTGTGCTGTATGTCTCTGACTGTATGACTCAATGACTCTATATAAGCATATATTTACAGAAATGCATATTACAACATGCAGCTCACTACCTAACAACCACAGTTCGTCTGTTCCTTTTATTAGGAGCACAAGTGAATCTCCAGTTGACGTTCACCATTTCCTTTGTGTTATTGTCTGAAACAACTTGGGACATTTCTTTACATTATTTAATATAGCCAGCACTTTTAAATTGCCACCAGCCAGCAAAATAATATACACGTTTTTTAAAAAAAAAACACAGTTGGCTAGAAAATGATCATTTGAAGCCTATTTTCAGATCCTGATGAGATGTTTTAAATGAGTCTAATGATGGTTTATTTATATTCTGTCTGTTTGGAATTTCTGTCTTGTTATCTGCTTTCAGGGATACATTTGAAGCTATTAAACAATCAATTTAAAATTTGGTATGAAGTAAATCCTGTAAGAAAATTCAAATAAGAGATTTTGGTCACTGCACGTGTGTACTTGTTAACAGAAATGATGGCTATTTCTTTAATAGTAACGTGCCAATTTTAAAACAGATCACGGTCCCCTTGCATGGGAATTATCCAGTTGTTGTATCCATGTTTGTTATTTAAATGTCAAAAATATTATAGGCATGGGAGAATGTTCAAATGGTATAAGATCATAATATGTCTTGAATGTTTAGAAGTGGCTTGTGGCCCTAGAAAATTAGTTGAAACTTTAGTGATATACTTGTCAAATTGCAGGTTGTTATTTCCACTCTGATTTCTCTGTGTGAGGACTTTGATACAGAAACTATTTCACCACAAATCTGTGTGTTGCAAGCACAGTAATAATGTTTCTTGCACATTTTTACACACAGTTATCTCTTTGGCTTCAAAATGTATTCTGAATCTTTTATCCTCAGGCATTATTACATTTTTTGTCATCTTGCAGTCGTTGTAATCCAGAACAGTGAGCTGATGTCTGGCAGCCTGGATAAAGGAACTCTGGGATCAGGTTCCAAGAACAACATCTTCTACATCCTGCTGAGAGACTGGGGACAGATGGCGGCCGCAGACGCTATGTCTCGTCTTGCTCGACTGGCTCCTGTTTATCTGTGTAAGTATTAACTTGGTCGTAAAATATTGTTATCTGAATGAACATTGGATCTACCTTAAGGACATCTTTTGTTTTTGTTTTGATACTTCACAATTTGATGGACATACTGTGCAATGGAACATGTCAAGCAGACTTTTATTTTTAAAAGTTTAATTTTCCATGTTCTTTTTTTCAAAATCTAGCCAATCGAGGGTTTTCTATTGGTATTGGTGATGTAACACCAGGTAAGGGGCTGTTGAAAGCCAAACAGGAACTACTGGATGCTGGCTACAAGAAGTGTGATGAATTCATTGAAGCACTGAACACAGGCAAACTTCAACAACAACCTGGATGCACAGCGGAAGAAACATTAGAAGTAAGCTGGCTTATCTTTCTGGTGTTGGAAAAAGAAGTGTACATTTGAAATTTCATCTGTTAGTCAATTTCATAAATAATTTCTTCATCTTTTCTTTAATTAACAAATGTATTTGGTTCTTCCATGGTATAATGAGTATTCCATTCAGTTAAACGCGAAAAATATTTTTTGTCTGTATTAGGGGGTAGAATAACTAATGGGGTTATGAAGAAGTCTGTTAGCCAGAAATTAAACTCCCCACGTAAAATTAACCAGTTATTTTTTGCAAAATTTGTTATAAAACATAGATTTTTGCTTTAAAATTCACTAGCAAAAAATCAATTACGAATATAATGAAAAGACCTACACTTAGGTAAGTCTGTGATTAAACCTTCCGAAAACCTGTGTGCAACTAGTTTGCCATGAACTTGGTAACTAGTTATAAATGAAGTTTTAAAAATTGCTGCTTCTGTAATATGGATGGTGTGGAGCATGATAAGAATCCTTAGTGTTTGTGTGCTTTTGGAAGTGAAATCATATTAAACATCATGCATTCCTTATTCTTTAATGGGATCATATAACGTAGGGTGGTTAAATTTTTTTGATGTGTAAACAAGCCGTTTAATGATAAAAATGTTCTCAATGATCCAATATGTTGCCATTTATAACATACAAATAATCAGAGCACTGATTATCGTATAATAGTTGATTTGCTACTTAGCAACAATTTAAACTGCAAACTTTTATCTGATTTGCAAGAGCAAGAGATTAAGAGGATATTTTTCTAAAAAAAATTGATTATCTCGTAAATATATGGTGCTTATCCATGGAAATCTGACTACATTTGTCTTACTATAGGTCATCGAATTTCTCTTATGCTATGGCTGAAGACAGTTTATGTAAAAGACATATGCCACTTCTCCCCAAATTTATGTAAAATTATTAAAAAGACATCCAAGTCATTACACTCTGAATTTCGGTTTTATAATAACTTTCCACTCTATTATTCTCAATTCTGTGATTTTAAATTGTGGAAAAAGCAAAATATATCCATATGTATTTCTTGTGAATAGATTTGTCATAACATTTTTACTGCTTACAGGCCTTGATCCTTAAAGAGCTGTCTGTGATTAGAGACCATGCTGGCAGTGCTTGCCTTAGGGAGCTGGACAAGAGTAACAGCCCTCTTACTATGGCCCTCTGTGGTTCAAAAGGTAACTGGGCAATTTTGTCATTGTTAAATTACAAATGCTATCATTACCGTCTAGACGGACAGGCATTTTGTATAGCCAGTGTAATAAAATAGACACTGAGTGGGCATCGAGAAGGAAAACTTCTGTACTTCAACCTATTTAATAATTGAGAAATGTAACATTTCTTATTAATCGGAATTCACAGTAAAAATTCTCTGTCTTAGGTAATTGCATATGAATGTGTTTCTTTTCTGCAGTCTGTGTTTATGCTCACAAAGCAATCTGAAACATCTCTCTTGGTCAAGTCACTGTCGAAACAGGAAAAAAGATAGCAAAAGGAAATGTTCTGGTTTCAGATTTCTAAATGCACTGTGGATTAATCAAATTATTTGATTTTTGAGAATACTGTCGAGTGAAGTCTTAAAGAAAATTGATATCTGCTTTCAATTACATTGTTTTTAATGTTATAATGTTAAAATTTTAATTCTAAACATATTTCTTTAGCAATTTAATGACTGGTACTAGATTCAATGCAGTATTTATGCCTTTAAATTTAAGTAAACTGTAGATTTATGTGCCTTTGCCTCCTTTGATGAAACATTGATTCAAGCATTCCAACAGTGCTCACAGACACTGAGTGTCTGCGAGCCGTAAGGATCCCCTAAGAATCATTGATTAGTGAGTAAGAGTGAGAATTGGACACCGTTTCTGCTAACTAACCTAAGTTAACCTTTCAGCTGGGGCCACAGTATATCAGTTAAAAGGGAGGATCGTCTTAGATAACTTCGACTGCATCATGTTATAAATGTAATCTGTTATAATTCATTAAAGGTAAGCAGAGACCAGCTCCATTGCCTCTGCCACTAAAACAGCATAATTGAAGTTTCAAGTTGATTAAGAGCAGGTTGCTGCCATCTTTTGTGCATGCTTCCTTTTTGGAAGAAAGTGGCTCTCCTCCAATTGGGTTGCCTGCTAGCAATGCAGTTATAATCAGAAAGGCACAGAATACAAGCAGATATGTAGATTTGTAATATGTTGTTTAAACTACTATTTCTAGTCTGTAGAATTAAAATCTGCCATTTGACTTTTACTTTACCACTGGATTAATATATTATGACAATGAACACTCTTAACAGGATCCTTCATCAATATCTCCCAGATGATTGCCTGTGTAGGACAGCAGGCTATTAGTGGATCCCGTGTTCCTGATGGTTTTGAGAACAGATCTTTACCTCACTTTGAAAAGCATTCTAAGGTGAGCACTCAACTTACTCAGGTGAAGCTCCCCCTCACTTAGAGTCACAGAGATATACGGCATGGAAACAGACCCTTCAGTCTAACTGGTCTATGCCAACCAGATATCCTATATAAATCTAGTTCCTTTTGCCAGCATTTGGCCCATATCCCTCTAAACGCTTCCTGTTCATATACCCATCCAGATGGCTTTTAAATGTTGTAATTGTTCCAGTCTCCACCACTTCCTCTGGCAGCTCATTCCATACACTCACCACCCTCTGTGTGAAAAAGTTGCCTCTGCGGAAAAGGCCTTGCCTGTTTACCCTATCCATGGACCTCATGATTTTATAAGCCTCCAATGCTCCAGGGAAAATAGCCCCAGCCTATTCAGTCTCTCCCTATAGCTCAAACCCTCCCATTTTGGCAACATCCTCGTAAATCTTTTCTGAACCCTTTCTAGTTTCACAGCATCCTTCCTATAGCAGGGAGACCAGAATTATGCGCAATACTCCAAAAGTGGTCTAACCAATGTCCTGTACAGCCACAACATGACCTCCCAACTCCCATACTCAATGCACTGACCAATAAAGGCAAGCATACCAAACGCCTTCATTACTATCCTATCTGTCTGCGACTCCACTTTCGAGGAACAATGAACCTGCACCCCAAGGTCTCTTTGTTCAGCAACACTCCCCAGGACCTTACCATTAAGTGTATAAGTCCTGCCCTGAGTTGCCCTTCCAAAGTGCCGCACCTCACATTTATCGGCCCTTTGGCCCATCTGATCAAAGTCCTGTTGTACTCTGAGGTAACTACCTTCACTGTCCACTACACATCCAATTTTTGTACCATCTGCAAACTTACTAACCATACCTCCTACGTTCACATCCAAATCATTTATATAAATGATGAAAAGCAGTCGACCCAGCATTGATCCTTGTGGCACAGGACTGGTTGCAGCCCTCCTGTCTGAAAAGCAACCCTCCACCACCACCACCCTCTGTCTTCTATCTTTGAGCCAGTTCTGTATCCAAATAGCTGGTTTTCCCTGTATTCCAATGTAATCTAATCTTGCTAACCAGTTTACTGTGAGGAACCTAGTCGAACACCTTACTGAAGTCCATATAGATCACCTCCACCACTCTGCCCTCATTGTTACTTCTTCAAAAAACTCAATCAAGTTACTGAGACTGTGTTTTCCCATGCACAAAGCCACTTTGACTCTTCCCTAATCAGTCCTTACCTTTCCAAATACATGTAAATCCTATCCCTTAGGATTCCCTCCACCAACATGCCTACCACTGACATAAGGGTCACCGATCTGTAGTTCCCTGGCTTCCCCTTGCCACCTTTCTTAAATGGCACCACGACAGTCAACCTCCTGTCTTCTGGCACCTCACCTGTGGCTACCAATGATAGAAGTATCTCAGTAAGGGTCCCAGCAAACTCTTCCCTCAATTCCTACAGAGTTCTAAGGTATGCCTGATCAGGTTCTGGGGATTTATCCTCCTTTATGCATTTTAAGATATCCAGCACCACCACCTCTGGAATATGGACCTTTTTTCAAGATGTCGCTATTTATTTCCCATGTTCTATATCTTCCATGAACTCCTCCGCAGTAAACACTGATGCAAAATACTTGTTTAATACCCCCCCTCCCATCTCCACATGTAGGTGGCCTAAATGATCTTTAAGGGGCCCTATTCTGTCCCTAGTTACCCTTTTGCCCTTAATGTATTTGTAGAATTCTTTTGGATTCTCCTTAACCCTATCCTGATATCCCTCTTAAGTGTACTCCTACTACCTTTATACTCTTCCAGGGATTCACTCAATCCCTGCTGTCTGTACTTGACCAAAACTTCAACTTCTGTAATCATTCAGCATTCCCTGCACCTATCAGTGTTGCCCTTCACCCAAACAGGAACATACTGTCTCTGGAATCTCCTTTATCTCATTTTTGAATGCTTCCCATTTTCCAGCTGACCCTTTTACCTGCAAACATTTGCCCCCCCATCAACTTTTGAAAGTTCTTGCCTAATACCGCCGAAAATTGCAGGAAGGCCAATTAGGACTTCAACGTCTAGATCTGGTCTATCCTTTTCCATCACAATTTTAAAACTAATAGAATTATGGTCACTGGCTCCAAAGTGCTCCCCTACTGTCACCGTAGTCACCTGCCCTGCCTTATTTCCCAAAAGTAGGTCAGGTTTTGCATTTTCTCTAGTAGGTACTTACACACAATGAATCAGAAAATTTTCATGTGCAACTTGACAAATTCCTCTCATCCCAGTCCTTAACACTATGGCTGTTCCAGTCTATGAGTGGAAAATGAAAATTCCCTACCATAACCTCCCTATTATTTTCACGGATAACCGAGACCTCCTTACAAACTTGTTTCTCAATTTCCTGCAGACTGTTGGGCGGCGGGGGGGGTCTATAGTACAGTTCCAATAAGGTGATCATCCCTTTCTTATTTCTCAGTTCCACCCAAATAAACTTCCCTGGATGTATTCCCAGGAATATCCTCCCTAAGTACAGCAATAATGTTATCCTTAATCAAAATCGCCACTCCCCCTCCTCTTGCGCTCACCTTTCTATCCTTCCTAGAGCATCTATACCCTGGAACATATAGCTGCCAGTCCTGTCCATCCCTGAGCCACTTCTCTGTAACCGCTATGATATCCCAGTCCCATGTTCCCAACCATGCCCTTAATTCATCTGCCTTACCTGTTAGGCCTTTTGCATAGAAATAAAAGCAGTTTAATTTATCAGTCCTACTTTGTCCTCTGCTTTGTTCCTGCCTGCCGTGACTGTTTGACTTACTCCTTTTCCCAACTGTATCGGTCTCAGACTGCTCTCTTTTCTCACTGTCTCCCTGAGTCTCCTCCTCTCTCCTCCTCCTCCTCCGCCCCCACCCCCACTTTACTAGTTTAAATCCTCCTGAGCAGCTCTAGCAAATCTCCTCACCAGTATATTAGTCCCCTTGCAATTCAGGTACAATACGTCCTTCTTATACAGGTCACTTCTACCCCAGAAGAGATACCTGTGATTCAAGAATGTGAATCCTTCTCCCCTGCACCAGCTCCACAGCCACACATTCATCTGCTCTATGCTCCTATTCCTACCCTTACTAGCTTGTGGCACCAGGAGTAATCCAGATATTACTACTCTGGAGGACCTCCTTTATAATTTCTTGCCTAACTTCGAATATTCTCTCCTCAGAGTCTCGTCCTTGTGTCTTCCTATGTTGTTAGCTCCAACGTGTACAATAGCCTCCTTCTGGTCCCTCTCACCTTTGTAAATATTCTGCGCCTTGTCCGAGATGCCCTCGATCATGTCACCAGGGAGGCCACACACCATTCTGATGTCTCGCTGTCGGCCACAGAAACCTCTGTCTGCGCCTCTGATTAGTGAGTCCCCTATCACAATCACCCGCTTGGAACCTGGCATACATTAGAGCCAGTCTCGGTACCAGAAACCTGATTGTCAGTGCTACCTTCTCCTGAGAGTCCATCACCCGCTATGTTTTCCAAAACAGCGGATTTGTTTGAGATGGGGATAGCCACAGGAGACTCCTACAGTACCTGACTCCTCCTCCTATCTTTCCTGGAGATCACCCATCTGTCCTCCTTGCAACTGACTTCCATCACACTCTCAGGCAATGAGAAATTTGCAGGAAGTAGTAACTGCTGATGCAACCGATCCATGTGAACAGATACGATTCGCAGTCAAGCACACTTCCTGCAGACATAATCATCACTAGCATGGAGACTCTCCCTAATCTCCCACGTCCGACAGTAAGAGCGCATCATTCTACTAAAGGCCCAGAAAATAGTGCAGTCTTACTGCTCTAGAGACATTTCTCCAGGCTAACTTAGTACCTATGTTTTATATTTTTAGAGTTTAATCAAGAGACAGATCTCAATAAAAACATATAATCAAAAAGAACCCACTCTACTCACTATTGTAGATTTACAAAAAAAAACTAGCCGCTTAGCTGTTCCCCTGCTGTGATCTCCCCACAGGGGAGCAGCTAAGTGGCTAGTTCTTTTGTAAATCTACAATAGTGAGTAGAGTGGGTTCTTCTAATAATTAATTTAAAAATTGCTTTGCAAAATGTTTAACTTCTAATTAAAATTGCAAATTTGTTTGTGCAGCTTCCAGCAGCAAAGGGATTTGTAGCAGACAGTTTCTATTCTGGTTTAACTCCAACAGAGTTCATCTTCCATACCATGGCTGGTCGCGAAGGCCTAGTGGATACTGCTGTAAAAACAGCAGAGACTGGGTATATGCAGGTAATGGCAAAATTTTACATCTTTGTAATAATGAGTGGTATTAAAAATACTGAGTTGTCTCTACAAACTTGATGCTTGTCTACTCAGTTTGAACCACTTTTTTTCTTCCAAACAAAGTCAAATTTGGGAAAAAGTTGCTAGCTGTCGTAGTAAATAGCTTATCATATTAGTACTTAGTTATACCAATGGTGTGATTCTGCTTCGAAGTATATATAACTTGTAAAGCACTCTACTAATAAATAAATCTTTATGATTGACAAATACTATTTATCTCGGTGAAATTTTCCATTCCAGTGGACAACAAAAGAAATGGTAGTATAATCTTCAGCGTAAGTTCTCAAAATTCTGTGCACAATTGTATCAATAATATTGACATTTACATAGTGTGAAATAATGTGCTGCCCTACTACCTTTTCTATCTCTTCTCCATCCCTACCTCTACCGCAGATCTAGGTGGCCTTTCCTGCACAAGAACATGGGTCATGCTTGAACTACATTGATAGTAAATTGTTGTGATAATTTGGCATAATGCAGATAATTATTCAGGGTAGACATGAGAAAAATCCTGTTTGCTATATGGAGGATGTGAATGTTAAAGGTTGTTAATAACCCTTGTTGAATACTAGCAATTCTGAATCTCTGCATTCAGGTATTGTGAATACCTCAATTATGTCATGATCTTCAACTTTACTGCAAGTCTTATTGACTTGTTCAGTGTCTGAAATGCATGACATGCCATTGTTTGGAAGAATAACTTGTACTGTTGAAGACAATTTAACATTAAATTTTTATCAGCATCTTACCAACAAATAAATGGGACTTAACTGAGGTATTATGTTTCAACACTTTCAGTTTTATGTATGCAGTAAATTTGTTTAAAGTTCAATCATTAATATTGTGAACATCACTATCATTATCTGCTACAGATTTCCTGTCTTATTGCCTCTGTGTTCTCAAACCTTTATCCCAGCTCTTCTCCTCCGATTCAATTCTTAAGTTCTTCCTTCCCCCAGCTTTCCTATTCTTACTCTTCATTCTTTCTTTAGGAATCCCTTGCATTTGTTGCCTCCAGTGGAGACTCCTCCTGCTTTTTTTTGGCCTTTCTCCCATTCCTGCCCCTGCAGTCAGTCCCTCTTTCACTACTGTCAATCTCCCTCCCTCATTTTGATCTTAACCTTGAAGCCTCTGGGTTGTCTCCAGTTTGCTGCTCCTCGTGCGGCTCCCATTGTGTGCTCCACCTAGTGGCAGACATTGGTTATTGCAAATAGCTCAGGACTTGAGCTACTATCTGCACCAATCAAATCCTGCTACTAGATAGAGCCCTGTCAATTAAAACTTCAGGTAAGTATTATTTTATTTACAGTATTTACAATATAAATGTATTTCTTCTACATTTGACTTAATTTAGTTCAAAGGTTATTTATGAATGTAAGCATTTAGGAAAGTGCACCATTTCAACTGTTCTGGGCAAGTTAAAATACAGTTTTTCAACCTATACATCATTTCTTTTGGGCAATAAATATATGAAGGAACCTAACTCAGTCTTTTTTTTAAGCTTTGATTTCTATGAGTACCTACAGTTTACTTAGTTGTCTCACTTAAAGTCACAATTTTCAACAATACGACTACAACTTTGTGAAAACTTGCTTCACCTGTACACCTGTGTGGCTGAGGTTTTTGACTAATCTAGCTTTGACAGCTTGATCTAAGGGGACTCTGAATGTATCTTCAAACCTGGTAGGTGTATTCTACTTACCATCTGTATTGTTCACTTTCTGGAGCTCTCTAAAACTGTACAAGAATAATTTGGAAGTTCATTTACTGAACCAACAAGAAAACATTTCCAGCTTCCAAAGTTGAAACCTGTGCATTTTCATGCTGCATGTTTAAACATATGAGATTATTAACTGAAAGTAAATCTGATCAACATTCCGGAGAAACCAGTTGGTGGTTACCACTATTTGATATGGCACGTGTCGCTGGAGATCCATTGCCTGTACTGGAATCACTGTGTGATGTCAGCCGCAGTTCATCTTGAGACCAACTGACACTGCTGGGTATGCTCTGACCACTGGCAGAAATGGTTTGGAGCAAGCTGAGCTGAAATCATTACACAGCACACCTGTTCCCAACTAATCTGCATGTCACTGTTACAAGGCACATTACCCGTCAGAGCTTTCTATTTCACCCACTTGTCTTTGTTCTGTCCCCACCCCATCCCCC